AGCAACAGCAGCAACAGCAGCAGCAGCAGCAGCAACAGCAGCAGCAGCAGCAGCATGGGAAGCAATGGGGTATAACGTGCTGCAGAAGCCTCTCTGCCACCTCTTTTTTGCTGCTCAAGAGGAGGCCCAAACAATTCTGTAGCCGTTGCACTGCTGTTGCTGCTGCTATTGCTGCTGCTGCTGTTGCTGCTGCTGCTGTTGCTGCTGCTGCTGCTGCTGCTGCTGTTTTGCAGGCGAAGCACCGGGGCAGCTTCCCTTCCGTTCCCAATACCGACGCCGCGTGGCTCCTCTGCGCTGTCCTCAACAAGTGGCGCAGGGGTCAGCAGCAGCAGCAGCAGCAGCAACAGGAGCAGCAACAGCAACAGCAGCAGCAGCAACGGCAGAAGTAGTAGAAGCAGCTTAGGGTATTTGTATGCCATGCAGCAGTAGAAGCGAGTTGAGTGCTTTTTTTATTGTTTGTTTGTTTGTTTGCTTGTTTGCGTTTATTTATTTATTTATTTATTTATTTATTTATTTGTTGCTGCTGCTGCAGAAGAAGATCCGCTTGTTGCTGCCAGGCTCAACGCAGTAGATGCACTCAGGCTGCTCAAAAGGTATCAGCAGCAGCAGCAGCAGCAGCAGGAAAAGCAGCAGCAGCAGGAATAGAAGCAGCAGCAGCAGCGTACACGAAAGCAGCAGCAGCAGCAGCAGCAGCAGCAAGTGCTACTGTGTTTGTGTGTGCGCAGCTTAACAACGGCTTCAATAACGGAGAAGGCAGCAGCGCTGCAGCAGCTGCAGGAGGGACAGAGGCTGCTGAATTCGCAGCTATCTCAGCTTTTCTTTCAGGTACCCTTAGGGTTTAGGGTTTAGGGTTTAGGGTTTAGGGTTTAGGGTTTAGGGTTTAGGGTTTGTATGCTGGATATAGGGTTTATGATATTCAAAGTGAATGCTTCTTCTGCACTGTGTATTGCTTCCTGTTGATTGCTTCCCGTTCATTTCCTCCTATTCAGAATTCAGGGTTTAGGGTTTAGGGTTTAGGGTTTAGGGTTTGTTGTTGTGGATGCAGGTGGATAGTTTGCGGTGTACGTACACCCAAGGTTTAGTGTTAGCCACATGTCGTCATTGCGCAGACATCGGAATGCAGGGGAATTATCTGCGTCTTTTGTGTTTGTTTGCTTCGACAAGACATAGAGACGGAGGCTCGGGTGTACAGGCACCTTGTGTGCTGCTTTGCATGCGCGACAGCGGCACCAGCAGCACCAGCACCAGCAGCAGCAGCAGCAACAGCAGCAGCAACAGTCAGGCGCTGCTGTACTGCTGCACACCCAAAGCAGATAAACACTCCCCAGACCTCTTTCCTGATGTGCTGCATGCGCTACATAATCTAACTGCTGCAGGAGTCTGCTGGCGAGACAGCACAAACCCTCATTTGTTGCGAGTTGCTTTAAGCCGTATTGCCTTAGACTTACAGAAACAAATCGCAGTTTTATATATTGAAGCAAAAAGAAAAAGACAGGAAAACTTCGATGATAGTGAGATGCTACATGAAACGCAGCCTAATGCTGCAGCAGCAGCAGCAGCAGCAAGTGATGCAGCAGAAGAAGAAGAAGAAGAAGAAGAAGCAGAAGAAGAAGAAGAAGAAGAAGATGATGATGAAGATGATGAAGAAGAAGCAGAAGAAGAAGAAGCAGAAGAAGAAGAAGCAGAAGAAGAAGAAGAAGATGCAGAAGAAGATGAAGAAGAAAAAGAAGAAGAAGAAGACGATGATGATGATGATGATGAAGCACAGCAAGAGGCAGAGACAGATAGCCAATCAGACGAAGGAGACAAGGAGAGAGCAGCAGAAGCAGATACGCAACAAAGCAATTCTTCTCGCTGCAGCAGCACAGAGCAGCAGGGGCCCCCTGAGGGTTCAGAGGCTGCTGTAAGGAAGGAGGGGGGCCCCCTACGCAGACGAAGAAGCAGCGACGCCGAGAGAGAAAGAGAGAATAAAGAGGTGCGTTCTGCTGCTGCTCTGCTGCTGCTGCTCTGCTGCCGCTGCTGCTGTTCTGCTCTTGCTGCTGCTGCTCTGCTGCTGCTGTTCTGCTGCTGCTGCTCTGCTGCTGTTGTTCTGCTGCTCCTGCTTTGCTGCTCTGCTCTGCTACTGCTGCTGTGCTGCATTTTAGTTAAAATAGAAATAGAGGGTTTAGGGTTTTGTCCTTGTATTATTTAAAATGAGAAAAGGGTTTAGGGTTTAGGGTTTAGGGTTTTGTGTTTTTTTACAGGCCAACTGCAGAGGCTGATTGTCTGTTAAAATAATATATTTTCTTTTGCTTTCTTTCTGACTCTTGTTTATTTTTCTTCATTTATTTGTCTGTATCTTCACTGTCTGTCTATATTCGGCAGGGGAGCCCCTGCAAATAACTCTATTGGCTTTATTCGCTGTTTTAGGGTTTAGGGTTTAGGGGCTGCTTATCTTAACCCTTCAGGTTTAGGGTTATAGGCGTCGAGGCTTTAGAATTTAAGGTGTAGTGAGGATTAGGGTTCAGGGGTTGCGCTCGTACAACGTTTGTATGCCTTAGGGTTTAGGGTTTAGGAGTTAGGGTTTAGGGTTTTTAAGTGCGACATACAAAATCCAACGGTCTAATTAGAATCTGCAGTTCACACAAAAGAAGCTTCAGCTGCTGCTTCTGCTGCCGCAGCAGCTGCTGCTTCTGCTGCAGCGGCAGCTGCTGCTGCAGCAGCTTCGTGCTGCTTTTGGGGGTGCAGTAGCAAGAGCAAACAAAATGTTTGAGGCTGCTTGGGTTGGCCTGCTTATGATGGTTGAGGGATTTCTAGGGTTTAAGGGTTAGGGTTTAGGGTTTAGTGGTAGTGGCGTCTTCGTTTGTTTTGTCTTTTTTTTGTTTCTGCTTGCTGCATTGGCTGATGAATTTTCATTCGATGTATTTATATTTCTTCTTCTTGCATCTCCTTGCCTGGCTTTGTTTATTTGTCTGTGCTGCTGCTGCTGCAGCAGCAGCAGCAGCAGCGGCAGCAACAGGCACAAGAGAGGATAGCGCCATCTGTTGCTGCATCACTTGCTGCTGCTGCTGCATTATTTGCTGCTGCTGCATTATTTGCTGCTGCTGCATTATTTGGTCTCAGCTTAAATATCCCTCGACATGAATGGTAGTCTACTACCCCTGCAATCTATAAACTGAAAAAAGCTGTTGCATGCACTAAACCCTAAACCCTAAAACCCTAAAACCCTAAACCCTAAAGGCGGTTGCTGCTTTGCAGCAGCAGAACCTGCAATACCAGCGGGCGGCATCAGATGTCCACCAACACTAAACCCTAAACCCTAAACCCTAAACCTCCTGCAGCGTAAAAAAGGCTGGCAGCGGGTACTGATGCGGCGCAGCAGCTGCTGTTAGCCTACTAGCTGCTGCTGCTGCTGCTACTGCTGAAAAATAGGCGGCTGCAGCAGCAGCTTCTCCCCAGCTGTACTACTGACACAAGCAACAGCTGCGTCGTCACCAAAGGCAGCAACAGCAGCAGCAGCAGCAGCAGCAGCAGCAGCAGCAGCAGCAAACACTAGAAGTGCTGCTCCTCGCGGTAGACGAATGGGTTTGATTGCTCAATGCATTATTAAAAAACAAAGCCAAGAAAGATAGAGAGAAGAAAGGAAGAAGATAGAGACAAAAGAACAACAGACACACTGCGTCTGTCGCCCCTCTTTAATCAGTGCTGCTCTGCGCCGCATGCAGCCGCCTACAAAAACAGCTGCAGCAGCAACAGCTGCTGCTGCAGCAGCTACAGCAGCAGCAGCAGCAGAAGAAAAAAATGCAAGTCTAGTGCGTGCACAAATATTTACACTGAGGTCATCAGAGCCTGCGCTCCTGTGGCTTCATTCGGCTGCTGCTGCTGCTGCTGCTGCTGCTGCTCCCTAGCCAGGCTTTTGTTTGCTGCTGGCTGATCTTTATTTGTACAAACCTGCGAAGAAAAGAAAGGAGATAAAAATTATATAAATACACCGCAGCCCCACACATGCTGCTGTCTGCATGCAGCGAGTGCAGCACATACAGCAGCAGCAGCAACAGCAACAACAGCTACAGAAGCAGCAGCAGCAGCAACAACAGCAGCAGCTGTTCTCACTTCTTTTTCTGCGTTGGGGTTATCCATCAATTGGCTGCCGTGCGGCTGCGCACAATACAAAAGCAGCAGCAGAAACAGCTATTGAAAGAATACACAAGAAGACAAACATATGCTGCTCTTCTCTGCCCTTCATCTGCTGCTGCTGCTGCTGCTGCTGCTGCTGCTGCTGCTGCTAATGTATGCAGGGCCTCATTAGTAAGCAGCAAGCACTCTATTTTTAAAAAAGAAGACGAAAACAACGAGATAGCAGCAGATAAGGAGACAGCAGCAGCAGGTAGACCAGCACAAACCAACAAGAGTGACAGCAGCAGCAGCAGCAGCAGCAGCAGCAATAGATTGGTGCATACACCGGGTGTAGCAGCAGGAAGCTGCAGCAACAGCCCAAGAGTAGGCAGCAAACCCAGCGGGCGGAGCAGCAGCAGCAGCAGCAGCAGAAACAACAGCAACAGCAGCAGCAGAAACAACAGCGACAGCAGCAGCGGGTTTAAGAAGAAGCAGCAGCAAAGAGACACAGCAGCAGCAACTTACTCCATCAACAATAACAGATCCACACTGGCTGATGTCTGCTGCTTGGCTCGCCCGCCCCTTCCTCTTTGCGCGTCGGAGGCGTCTGAAACGAAGAAGAGATACTCAAACCCTAAACTCTAAACCCTAAACCCTAAACGATGTATCGGCAGAAAGACATCGAGAATAAAAGCAAAAAGAGACGAAGACAACAACGAGAAGAAATAACAAAAAAACAGAAACAAACAACTGACGCAACCAGAAACACAAACCCTAAACCCTAAACCCTAAACCCTAAACCCTTAAGAGGGAAACAACAAAGGCGCACTGACAGATAAACAGCACTTCCTCGTGCTAGCGCAAGCCCTACACTCCAAACCCTAAACCCTAAACCCTGAACTTCAGTCTCTAAGCCTTAAGCCCTGAAAACTAAGATCTGAAGACTAAACCCTAAACCCTACAAACTAGACCCCAAACCCTAAACCCTAAGCCCTAGACCCCAGACGCTAAACCCTTACTTTTTGTCGATGATGATCCACTCGACGCAAGGCCTGTGTTTAACCCGAGGGTTTTTCTTTTCTACCTGCAGCAGGCAGCAACCAGCAGCAGCAGCAGCAGCAGCAGCAGAAACATCGGTTTCTCTCTCCCCGTACACTTTAAATAAAGCAGCAGCAGCAGCAAACAGCACAACTTGAACGCACCCAACCACCCCAAATAACACAGCACCACTGCAGCAACAACAACAGCAGCAGCAGCAGCAATAATGACGACAGCAGCAGCACACGCTATAATTATGTTACGAACAAACACAGCATCAGCAGCCACAATGGCAGCAGCAGCAGCAACAGTAGCAGCAACAGCAGACGCAGCAACAACAGCAACAGCAATAACAGCAACAGCAATACAAGTAGCAGCAACAGCTGAACTGGCCACTGCTACTACTGCTGCTGCCACTGCTGCTACTACTACTACTGCTGCTGCTGCTGCTACTGCTGCTACTACTACTACTACTACTGCTGCTGCTGCTGCTGTTCGATATCTTACTTCTTCTTCTACTCTCATGGTGATGTAGTCGAAGGTAGTCATATGATTCCACAGCAAATAAAAGTGCAGCAGCAGCAGCTGCAGCACCAACGCTAAGACGGGGGTGTTAACAGCAACGGGTACAGCAGAAACGAAGTAAAAGACAGCGGCATTGAAGCCCCCATAAAACTGCGACAAAACAAAAATAAAAATAAACACAAATATAAACAAACAGAGGTATTAACAAACTAACAAACTGATTAACAAACAAACATGCATGCAACAACTCTCGACGCCTTCCTACTCTAATGACAGCACCGAGCTGCTCAGTAGGCGCACCCAACAGCCAGCTAGCTAGCTATCCAGCTAGCTGCTGCTGCTGCTCTTCCTGCAGCAGCAGCAGCAGCTACCGCCGTAGCTGCTGCTACCAGCAGCAGCAGTGAAGCGTATAGCGAGAACTGCGGTGTCTGTACAGCTGAGCTTCGTCTTTGTGTGGAGGCCTCAGCCGTGTGCAGTTTGGTGCTGGGGTGTATGTACAGCAGGAAATATAAAGAAAAAAGATAAAAGATAAATATAAACAACTGACTTGCTTCCAATGAGGAGCGCTGTAACCAGCTACGGCCTCCACGAGAATTTGATAGAGACATAACACCACCAGCATCAACACCATCGTTGCAGCAGCCACCAGCATGCCTACGAACTCCCTGCAGCAGCAGCAGCAACAGCAGCAGCAGCAGCAGCAGCAGCGTTCCCAGCAGAAGCGGAGGCGGTAAAGGAAGCACAGTGCAAGTGCAGCAACAATCCCTCTCCCTGCAGTAGCTGCAGCACCAATTAATGCTGCTGCTGCTGCATGCTGCAGCAGCAGCAGCCCCAAATCCCAAGCCCCCCTCCAGCAGAAACAGTGCCGCCATCAGCAACAGCAGCAACAACATCCGCAGCAGCAGCAGCAGCATTCTCATCATCAGCAGCAGTTGTATGCAGCAGCAGCAGCAGAAGCACTCTCAGCATCAGCCAGCAACAACATTGTCAGCAGCAGCAGCAGCACCATCATCATCAGCAGCAGCACTATCATCATCAGCAGCATCAGCAGCAGCAGATATATTTGTGATGGGTACTTGTAGTTTGTCTTGCCGACGCAGTTATTAATCCAAATGCAGTGGTGATCGAAGACATCTATGCATTTATTACAAGACCTGCAGTGCTTGCTCGCCTCTAAGACACCTCCGCATACACTGCAAGTGCGGGTCGCCCCTGGGGGCTCCTCTTCTTCTCTCTGTCTCCTTGCTGCAGCAGCTTCTCCTTCAATAGCAGCAACAAACGGCCCTGAGCAGAAAGCTAAAGGGTCTATAGGATCTGCTGCTGTGCAGTAATACGCCAATCCAAAGAGAGAAGCAGCAGTAAGGCCAAACAAAACCCCGAAAATTGCTTTTAAAGGAACAGACACTGCAGGTAAAACTACAAGATAAAACAGCAATATATCTACACCAAATAAAACCCACGACAAGATCTGATATAATTGAAGAGGCCTAGTAAAACCATGTCGACGAATAAACTCCCCAGGGGGTCTTGAGTCTGTTCTATCAATTGTCGTGCATCGAGCCTGTTTATGCGCTGCGGTTTCTAAATATAAAGGCTCAGCCCATCCCCCTGCTGGGCGACGCTTCTCTTCAGGTGTGCATGCACCTGAATCACCAACCGCCAATCCTACCGAATCTTCAACAGCCTCATTACACGGGGAACTGCAAACAACAGCCTCAGGGCCTTCATCGCCAGAAGCAGCAGCACCACTAGTAGTACACACACCAGCAACAGCGGCACACGGAGATGAAGACTCAACCGGAGAGCCGTTCGGCTTCGACGGGCCCTTGCACACTCCAGGCTGCAAACTCTTTAGCTCTACTCCTTCAGCTGGAGTGGCATCATGTGCAGATTGAGGCTTGTTGACTACGGAGTTGCTGTTGCGTGCGTCAGCTGCTGCTGTTGCTGCTGCTGTTGCTGCTGCTTCTGCTGCCGCCGCACTTTGTGCTGCTGCTGCTGCAGCTGTTGAGGCTCCTGCAGCTGCATTTTTTCCTGCTGATACAGCTTGAGAGGGCCCTTGTGGGTTTGCTGCCATAGTCGGCTGAGTCGGCTGCTGCTGGCCGCCACTGGTATGCAGGGGAGTTCAGGTGTAAAAGGAGGCTCTCGTCATTCCCTGAGGTGTTCTAGAGGCGTATGAAAAGGGTTTTCAGGATACATAAGAGGTATTTAATTTGGAAAAGAAACAAAAATGCGCAGCCGACCAACGCAGAAGACCGGCTGCGTTGTAGCCGCTCTGAGCCGTCCAGACAGCTGGTGGCGGTCAGTCTGTCGATCAACTTGGTGAAGCATGAAGGTTCTGGTGTTTTATTCTTGAAAATGAAAACGAATTATCCTTTATTTTATTTTTTATTCTCAATACAACACGTTCAACTAGAAATTCAACGCTACCTTCACCATATATACACCGGGGCTGGCGCTTTCTGTGCACGCCTGGCGGCGAGGCAGATCGACTGAATGCAGACTTTCTTTGTTTCCTTGAAAAGACAAGAAGAATGAGGATAAATTACTCAATTAAAGCCTGAGAAATCAGGTTTTTTCATTCATAGAAGGAAGATCTTCTATTTAGAAGATGCTGCATACAAAGAAACTGCTTCCTTCACTTACACACCAACTGGTGCTCGTCGCTGGGGCCTACGGCTCCCTGGAGATGTATTTCTTCACCATTGTGCTTCTGTTATTGTTTTATATCTCCTACTTTCACTTTCATACGTTTTACTGCAACCCGATGAATAAAATAAGCCTCTTAGTACCGAATGCTTTGGTGCTGCTAGCGGCTATAAGCCAAGGCAGCGACAACACTACAGCTGCTCATCAATCTTTTATCTGCTGCACGAACAGCTGTACATACAGAGAAGGGTTGGGTGTATAGTTTACTGGTGTCGTTTGAGGTATCGTAGCGCCGCAATCTGCAATATGTACACGAAGAAGAAAAAGAAAAGGAAAAAAGAAAAAGAAAAAGAAGAGGAATTCAGTAGGCGAGGCGCATGCAGCGGGCAGCCTTTTGTCTCTCTTTGCATGCGTCTTCGTTGTCTATCTAGCTGAGAACAAAGCCTTGCTAGCTGCAGCTAGCTGGTGATGAAGCTTGCTGCACCTAGATACAGCTAGTTACATGTACTAGCTGTAGCCAGCTACAACTAGCTGCAGCTAGCTATATAAACACCAAATAAAGAAACAGCTGCTAAACAAACAGTCGTCTACATATGGAGAGACTAACGGCTTGCAGCCTTTGGTTTTTCATATGTAGACGACTGTTTGTTTAGGAAAAGAAATAAATTTGTATTTTCTTCTTTGTCGTTGCAGCAGCAATAACCTCGGGTGTATGTGCACCATGCATAGCCCCTCTACTATAAACTCTTTCTTTTTAATACGTCTACGCTGCAGTTGTATATGCAAAGAACTGACTATACACCCCAATCTAAACAAAAACAAACAACAACCAACAATCCAAGCAAAGCAAACAAAAACAGAAGAAGAAGTTCTTGCGTCTGCCGGTGAAGCAGCAGCCGCTAAACAGCAGCTATGCAGGGGCCCCTCTACAAGTAATAAAGAGAGGAGATGAATAGCCCCTTTCTGTTCAATCTAAACAAATTCAACAGAATATTATCCTATTCAATTTGAGGTGTACATACACCCCAGATGAGCAATCAATCAGCGCTTCTCCTTCCACAAAGACAACAGGCAGCAACGCCATAAAAACATCCAAAGGGCTAACACTACGTAATAAGGGGAATAAAATTAATGAATCTACATATAGAGAAATATATATATATATATATATCAGTACAAATACATAAAACGTATGCAATAATACAAACATATATATATATATATATATATATACATATATACATACATATATACGTATATGTACATATATACGTATATGTACATATATACGTATATGTACATATATGTACCCATATATGTACATATATATATATATATATATATATATATGTGTATATATGTGTATGTATATATATACACATATATATGGATATATACATATATATGTACATATATATGTATATATATATGCATATATATATATATATTTACATACACGCATATATAAACTATCTATACACTATCTATAAATATAAATACAAATATATACTCATTTATATATTCATATATTCACATATATATGCCCGAGGTCAAAGGTATAACCATCTGGCGGCTATGCATTTTTGAAGATAATTTAAACTGCACTACAGCGAATTAGTTGTCTCTAGTGAAGCAGAAGTTGTTGCTGCTGTGAGGCTGCTGCATGCAGCAGTCTCGGTGGTGCTGCATGCAGCAAGTGCTTTCGCATGCACAGCTGCAGCAGCAGCAGCAGCAGCGTCAGCTCTCCGTATACGAACAGCTGCAGCGCGTTGCAGCATTTGAAGACCAAAGATATATTTATCTATACACTGCATTGCAGAGACCCCACCAGAGCTGCTGCATGCAAGGAGGTGTGCTGCTGCCTCTTGGGGTATTTCCTTCAGCAGATGTTGCGCATGCCCATGCAAGGGCCTCCCCTGCTGCTGTCTCCACCGTCGTCTTTGATTGCGTCTAACAGAACGGCATCTAGACAGACGAATTCTTGCTCTTGCTGCTCGGCTGCTGCGGGAACGCCTCCTATAGAGAGAATCTACTGCTGTTCTTCTTCTTGCTGCTGCTGCAACTCGAAATGTCCGGGTGTCTCTGTCTTTCTGCCTCTGCTGCAAAGGCTGCAAAGTAGACAAAGATACAGGCAAGAGAGAAAGAAGAGGCAGCAAGAGGGCGCTCTGGGAAGCCGTTGCTGACTGCGTGTGGCGCCTGCCTCTGCTGCTGCTGCTGCTGGTGGTGGTGGCTCGGCGCGGCCAAGCGAAGCTGCGGGTGCAGCACCACAAACCCACACACAGCGCAGCTACAGCAAATAGACTAACAACAACTGCAATACACAACACATGCAAATACAGACGAGGGCTGTTGCTGCTGGAGAGGCCCGCCTCCTCCCCCTTCCTCAGGTATCCGAGTTGCATTATCAACAAGTTGAACAGCAATTTAAAACAGAAAAATATATATTCGCAAAGAAACAAAAAATAGAATGAGAAAAACAAATAACCTGAGGGCCGGCGCAGCCCCTACAAATCAAACGCCTTAATTCGCTGCCTAACTGCGTAGATGCTGCGAGGACAATCTGCAGCTAGAATAAAATCACTTGAAAAAAAATATTTTTAAAACATAAACCCCAAACCCTAAACCCTAAACCCTGGGTGGCAGGTGCAGCGATAAGCATGCGAACGCCGCTGCGGTTTTGCTGTCCTTCCTTCTAGGAAACCAACGCAAAGTGATTGTGATTTCTGTCTGCATGACAGGAGGTACTGAATTTCTCCTGTCTGTGCAGACACCATCACGAACAGCTTCTACAGAAACTGCTGCAGTTTAAACCAACTTGCAAGTTGAATACTGCGGCAATTTCTGCTGATGAAGGCCGCGATCAACGAAATAAGGAAAAGGGCTACTAGAGTGTGCGTCGGATGTCAGTTAAAGGGAGAAATAAACGTGTGATATCATTAATGCATTGATTTCCTATGAAGAAACCTGAAAAGATAAAGCTAGTAATGGGCTGAACACACGCTGCCGCCTCAGCAAACGATGTGGGGCGCGACGAAGACAAACTGCTCTATAGCCGGACGCCTCGCGGCTTCCAATAACCCTAATAGAAGTAAAAATCAAAATTACGAAGAATTAGCAAAAAAGGAAAAGTAAACATAGTCCTTTTATTCATGATCGCATACTGAGACCACGCGATCACACCACCCTCCACACAGCACAGGTCAAAACAAACACCGCCTCTGAAACGAAACTCAAGAAACCATCCGTAAAATATGAAAAGGTTTATTTATAGCATTATAATCCAACTATTTATCAGGAAATTATCGATGAACACGAGGCATAAACAAATTTACACACAGCTTGCTCTCTGGAACGGCCTGAGCGTGTAGCCGAGGCAGCCAGCCCCGTATGAACCAATCGGAAACAGGAAAAGTTGAATTCGTCTGTTTTCTCCAGAAGCATTCTTATATTCATCTCCTGTTATATCGAATTGTTGCAACAAACAACAACAAATACTTTTCCTCTTATCGCACGTCTGAAATATGTTCCCTTACCCACCTATTCATTCGTTCTTTCTACAAACGGCGAGTATGCCCACGCGCCTCGGGGGTAACCGGCGCCGAGAAGAACCTGCTGTTGTTTCCAAGGGTTATACGTGAAGGAAAAGATGAAATAAATTAATTATATCATTGTCTTATTGTTTTTAAGATTTTCTATAACGTATTCCCTCTACACTGGACCTCTGTATTCCGTACAATGAACAATAAATCGTGCCTCCTCACTCCAACGGGATTCTTCTTGTTGCTGTTGTTTCTTGATATACTATATACTCTCTAACGCAAAAAAAAGGTTTTCTCCCTAGCTGTCATGCCGTGTAAGCAAAGTACTCATGCCTCCGTCCTAGGCAGCCCAGACTCATGATAATTGTCTTATGTTCCACATACCGACTAGGGTTTCCGCCATCCTTCTTAAAAACCAACTATCGGAATTACTTACGCGCAGATTAATGCGCAAAACAACGGTAGAGTAAACCACAAAAAAGTGTGTAAATGCCGTGCTGCAGCAGAGGTACGCCTCGTATCTGCTACTGCTGCTGCTGCTGCCTTTATGTATGGTATTTAAGGAGTACAGGAAAGAAAGAATTAAACACTTCCTGAATCTCCGCTGTGGTCCTGCAGCCAGTGATGACGACTTTGCCGCTCACGAAGATCAGCAGCACTGCTTTCAAAGAAGGCGTGGGGTTGTAGCGATAGACGAGCCCTGCAGCAACAGCAACGATGGGCGAAAGATACACAACATTAAAAGATATGCCATCTGCACCGGTGTATGATGATAACCTATCTGTTTTCTGCCTTCATCTGGTATACGTACAGACAGCCAGACAGGGCAACAACCAAAGAAAAGCACAAGAAACTGCACTTTTAAGTGGTATTCTGCATACACTTGGAGAGGTGTATCTACAGAGAATACTAACCTGCAAACAACTCCGGCTCATAGCTACAAAACTCCTTGTGATCAAATGCAAGACCCTCCAGCCTCACAGGGAGGCCGCAGTCTGCTGTGGCGACGATATTTTCAACAGCAAATTCTGTCAATCGGATATTTGAGTAGTTGCGTTTAGACAGAGCCCCTGGAGGAGGGGAAGAGGGAGATGTGTCCTTCGCTGCTACGGCTACCAAAGCCCCTCCCTCTCTGTCTCTCTCTCTCTCAGCCCCTTCAGTAGTTGAAGCAGCACGTGGCCGTGTCTCCTCTGTAGCTCCGTCATCAATTGCAAGAAGGGTTTTCTCTTTGTCGTTCATACCCACAACGCAGCCTTCCTTCTCTGTTCCACCAGCCACAACCCCCTTTCTTTCTAAACCCCCCTCCTGACTGTCTGACAAGGCGGGAAGAAGAGAAGAAGAAGGCCCCTTAGAAGAAGAAGAAGGAGAAAATATCGCCTGCAACATCTTCACCAATAAACGAGCAGCGCGCAATGCCGCGTCTTCGCTCTGGGCTCCAGTAACCATCACCCGGCCTATCGAACAAACAAACAACAAAAATATGGAGGGAAATCACAAAGGAATTTAATAAATTAAGTGCCTGCAGCAACAAGAAAATATAATTTTATAGAGTGGACACTCTAACAGTACAATCTCATCAGAGAAAGCGAATACGCAAACAAAAAATAAAGCAAAGCAATCAACAATTCATACAACTCCAAATTCAGCATTCATCTGCCACTGTTTGCATGCAGTACACCCCAGGCCAGTGTATGAGCAAGAGGAGTTAGTTATTGCCTCCGTCTCAGCCCGTGTAACTGCAACTATTTAAGTAAGTGGATTCTAACGCAAACCAACGCAACAACACAACTGTCTGTTTGGGGTGTACAGACACCGCATTACGTGCGCACAATGCACACCTGATCTGAAGATCATGCCTGTGCATTTGGGTTTCCTCAGCCTGACGATGCAGGCATTCACCTTCCGGGGGTTGTACTCAGCGAAGCGGCAGCTAACAGCAATACGCCGCAAGTCGAGAGATGCGCTGGCCCGCCCCCCCACAACTATACGGCCGCTAGCTATTACATTCTGCACCTGAACAGGGTGGTTGCCGCCTGCTGCTGCTGCTGCTGCTGCTGCTGTCACACCAACGTCTCCTGGCAGACTGATGGGCTTTGAGCTGTTCACGTCAAGCACAGAAGAAGAGGGAGAAACTGGGTAGCCCGCCCCCCTACCGCTGCTGCTGCTGCTGTTGTTGGCTGCTGGCTCCTCAGACGGGAGGTCTGAGGGGTCTGGCGCAGTCAAACTGTCCGGCAGCAGCAGCGCCATGAGGCTGTCGTCCAGCGAAGGTTCCCCCCCTGTCTGCTGCGTCGGGGTGAAGTTGAAAGCAGCAGCAGCAGCAGCAGCATCTGCTGCTGCTGTTGCTGCTGTTGATCCCTCTTGTAGAGCCTGCGAGTCTTCTACGTGCAGCAGCATGTCGTCTGTTTCTTCGCAGAGCGGCGAGCCGACTGCCTTCTTTCTTTTATTAAACCCAAACAACTCATCTGTGGAGCTGCCCCCTCTCTTTGCAGGAGCTTCAACGCCCTCCCCTTCCTTTGGTTCATCTTCTGACTGAGCCATCGCGGGTAGACAGACAAGAAAACAAAAGAGGCGTACAGCGCAGGCTGTCTACCCACTTGCGAAGCAAACGACTCCACCTGAACCTGTAGAATAACTGCTCCTCTAAACAAGTGCTAAGTAGGTTATTCTAGACAGCACACTGCTGCGCATAAAGCCATCTACATCGTTTCTGATTATTTAATTCTCTCTTGAGAACAGAATTTGTACAGGCACCAAGGAAAGAAGAGCAGGCAATGAGAGACAGAACAAAGTTGAGGTGTCTAGATACCCGATGGGCTGAACGCGAGCAAAAGATTTTGAATTTTTCACTCCTCCTTCTGAATATTGTCGCTGCTTCAAATAAATGCGAGAAATGTACAAGGTAGTTTAATGAAAAGACAGCACCCAATTGAATACCCCCGGCTCTCCCCGTCAGCAGCAGCCTTGTTTGTTGCCAAGTGGAGCGCGCTAAGGAAGCAATATTTGAATATAAATAAAGAAACGTTTAAATAAATCAATCAAAACTACCGCGTTACTATTATTACGGAATTGCTGGAAGAGAAAACAGGCAGAAGAACCTCGGGATCAAACCGGAGCTTCAGCAGCTCTCACATCGAGGCTTCATAAGCAAAAAAAAACAAAAACTTCTGCATTCATTACACCTGACTTGAGCAGGAAAATGTTCTTCTGGCTAACTTACGCGGGTAATATTGCCAACAGAACGCAGTGATCTAACTCCTGAATGGCTGCATGCAGCCCCGTTGCTGCACGAAGAATAGAAAGAAGACACAAGAACTGTTGCAGGTTTCTCTGCTGCTTAAGGGTGGTAAACATAGAAAAATATAAACGTGTTTGAATATCGGTTCATCTGTACGACTTGCTCCAGTATATTCTCGTACATATGTTTCCGAGATTACGCTGCATGGCGGGTTGAGATTCATTTTTATGAACTGTAAATCTGACGGAGTTTGAAACGATCAAAGCTGCGAATACAACGGCAGCTCAGCTGTCACTACAGCTGGTGTGGCTAAGGGTCTGTCGCTCCCCTGCGTCTGATAACTATGAATCCCTGTACTGGCCGACAGGGGGGCGACCCTAAACCCTAAACCCTCAACTATAATCCCTAAACCCTAAACCCTAAACAATAGAGAACGGGAGAGATTGGCGGCCGCCCGCAGGGAGCTCGTGCAAATGGCTTCTTTTTCCTGTGCGTCGCGGCATCTGATGCCTCGCGTTGGTCTTCCCTGCAAGCATCTTACACACAATACCGCCGTTCATTCTTCTCTACAACTCAAGGCAAGCTCATCAAGATGTATGGACAGCTCGCGCAGCATCAGCAGTCTGACGGAGCTGCTGAGCGGCAGGAGAAAAAAATCAGCTTTGAATTACCCTCCTCATCCAGGAGATGAAGTGGATGCACAAAGGCCGCTAGCCCCTGACCCCTATGACAGCACGTACAAATTGCCTCAAGGGGCTCCTGACGCTCGCAGCCTCTCTAGAGAGCGATTTCATCAGTTCATGCACGGCAAGCCGCAGCGTTTCTCAAAGGAGCTGAAGGTAAACGGTACTGCCTTTCAGGATATAAACCCAAGTGTACTCAACTAGTTAGAATACGTTGGAGAGCAAGAACGGAGTGGCGCTGGCACAGTAGGGGGTCGTGCATTTGTCGGTGCGTGCTGTCTGTACAGCTGAAGCTGCTTGCTGATGGCTGCTCTTCTTTTGATCTGTGTGCTGCTGCTTTGCATGCAACAAATATGAATTGTGCAGGTAACCGTCATGGGCTGTACGTTGGCGGGCTTCGGGGTTGGGGTGACGTGGCTTACTGCGTACATCATGCGGCCTGATGACTTTGAATGGGTTGAAGAAGAACGAAGACGAATACAGGAGGCGAAAGAAAGAATACAGCAGAAGATTGAAAGGGCAGAAAAGATGCAAAATCATAATGCTTAACTCATATCGCCCAGATGCAGATTCGCAAAAGGTGTATGCTAAACCCTAAACCCTAAACAACTGAATCAGGAGGCGTCATTCAGGCTTCGTTTATTTTGCTTATTGGATTTCTTTGAATAGGAAGGAACAAAAGCAAGATGATATATGGTCAGCCAAGATGCTGCAAAGCCCACTCACGATATTATATTATATTACATGCCTATATAATATATAATATATAATATTATATGGAGCCTTGTGATTCAAATGCGTGCTGTGCTACGTGTGTGTTTGTATGCGGCTGCATTCAGATATAGACTGTATTCTATTTCGTGTTGGTATCGCTATATGTAAAGTTTCGTTGGGTTGTTTTGCTTTCTTATGTTCTGCAAGGCTATGCTGCTGTAGCCTCAAATTGCAGCTGTCTCTGCACTCAGTTCGAGACGCAGCGAATTTATGGGGTTTCTTTCGTTGCTGCTTTCATTTCGTTTTCATATGTCTCAGCAGACTAAAGTTTAGTCGCGTATTGCCTCGCCGTTTGCAGGCAAGAAGTGCTGGTGTACTCTATATGGTTATAATATATATATAATATGCATATGATGCTTCCAGCATATATTAAATATATTTTATACAGTAAACGGCTATGTGCCACAGGCTCAACGGGTTCGCGTTTGCCAGCAAAAGTTGAGAAACGCGATCACCGGTAGCATTTGGTATTCGCAAGGAGTTTTTAACAACTACTATTATCAACCGAAATAACATATATATTATGTATACCTATGCGTTCACGCAGATAGATAGTAAGAATGTTAGAGTAGATGTTCATATTCAGCATTTAATCCTCTCCATTTCGCAGTTTATTTTCTGAAAATCTCAGTTCTCGTATTGAGATAAAAAGCCAGGACGAATATAGCAACCAGAAGGGGAAGAGCCGCTCCTCACGTTTCTTCCATAATACGCTGCTACGTAGTCATTCATCATTATCAATCCTCGTACTCAGCAGCTTGCAAGATATATACATGTATATCCGGAGGGATCAGCAGCTGGGGAAATCAATATATTATACTAAGTTCTGGCGCTAGCCCCCAGACATAATTAACGCTCTAGCCACTGCTTCTGTCTTCTTTTAAGGGGAATTCAACGGCATGAATGCGAGCAGCCCAAGACGAAACTGCCGAAAGATGAGCGTGTGGCGGGGCCGTGAATTGCCTAACCAGCAGCTGAATTAAAGTCTTAAAAACATCCAGGCGGTGATAAAGCCTTTTAACGGTATTCTTGCAGTATTTTTCTGATTCAGATGAGCGTTTTCCAGAGGCGCAAGCAAAGCGGTGTGCATACACCACTCGCGCACTCGGCGAACTCACCGCATGCAACAGATACGGGATTTTCGCGAGTCTGCATGCACGGAGAGTTGCATTTAAAGCTTATTCCTTCGCAGTTCGCACAGCCGTTTACATGGAACAGCCTACAGGTGCCAGCCCTCCACAGGAGGCGGCGCCCGAGCTGCCGCAGGCGAACAAGGGTTGCAAGCGGGTCGCAACGCAGAAGCCGCCGCGGAGGAAGAAAGGGAAACCTGAAACAGCAGTTGCGGACTCCACAAACAGTGAAGAGCCAACTCCTCGTGAAGTCGTTCTGGCATACATGCGTCAGCAGAACAGACCCTACAACCTTCAGTTGGTGAGCCGCTGGGTCCCTACTTGGCTCTAACCAACAGAAACCTTACATACAGCTTTTCACCCTCTTCATCAGATATTTGATAACCTGAGGAGGCGTATTAAGAAACCGGATCTCGAGCGTCTGCTTGAACAGCTAGTTGAAGATGGATGCCTCATATCCAAAGACCTCGGCAAGACACGTGTGAGCTTGTTGGTAGTTCATATACTTGCTAATTGCTGGCGGATTCCTCAACGGGTGTTCTTTAATTTTCGTGCTTGTTCCTCTCCTCATTCGGTGTTCTCACTGTGTAAGCATGAACGTAGGTCTTCATGTACGCCCAAGACCAGTTTGGTGCTTCTGCCGCTGAAAACGGAGACATTGCTGCAGAAATCCAACGTAAGTGATGGCAGCTGGCTACGGTATCCTCTGTTTCTTATCTCACATGCACTATTCTCTTCAGAATTGAGAGAAGAGGTCAAAGAGCTAGAACGTAGGTGAACAGGCTCTTTGCCTCCACATGCCACGCGCTGTACTATTAAATGCAGAGTTTGTTAAGAAGCAAACTGCACTGCAGCAACGCATGCAAGAAATCCGCAACCGGGAAGACCTGCTGGGGAGCCTCACCGCGAAAGTTGCTGCAGGTGCGTCCCTGGCACCCCGCCGCTTGACCCCCTTGATAATGTATTCTAATCACACTAAATGCGTATATATGTACATATATATATGCATGTATATGCATATATACATACGCCTAAACACGTGCAATCTACAACTGCACTTATTTTTTTCGCACATGCGCCGCAGCGGAGGCTGAGAGGGACGCAAAACAGAAGAAGCGAAGCGGAAGGAATGCCGCAGCAGCAACAGTGACAGCAGCAGAAGCATCTGCTGCTGAGCACCTGCACGCCAGACTCCACAACGCATGGGCTGTGCAGAAACGGCGTTGTCTTCAACTCGTGAGGCTCCTTTCGGAGAGAGCGCAGGCAGATCCGAAGCAGCTGCAAGAAGAACTTGGCCTGGAAAGAGACGAAGACTTCATTCCCCCAGAGGCCTATTCAAAATACAATTAAAATAAACAAAAGAAAGACAACCGCAGGCGAGATGCCACGCATGCAATGCTGCCTTAGGCGCCGTAGCAGCCACGCAGCAACTCTTTCGAGTTGCTACAACACGGGCTGCTGCGTTGGTGGGTGAGGCCCGAACGGCAGCCTTATCAGAAAGAGCATCACAGAACAGACAAAATGGATAATCCACTTTTCCCCCCAGTGTGCAGAGAAATCTACACTTCCCAAAGCGTTTCAGGCTGCCTCCTTGCATTAGTATTTACAGCGTGCGCTTCTGTCGCCGCTGCCGCATCACAGGATGCCTGCAGCACATTCTGTCTTGTTGAGCTCCTCAGCCGCCGCATAATAAACCGAGTCTGCTGCTGCTTCTGCAAGCGCAACGCCAGGAGTGCAACTATTGACGCGGGTGGCGATAGTGGCTGCACAGCTGCAGATGCCGCTGCTCTCCAACAGCAAAAACGACTTCGTGCCTCGCATCTGAGAGGCCTATGAAATGGTTTCGTAGCCACTGAGCCCGCGTAGGGCGTCACGACTTGGGGAGTCTGTTGAGGTATTGTACGTGTCCGTGTCGTTAAACTCTACGGTGTCTGTCCAGTCCCAAGGAGTGCCACTGCCTGCAGTGTCGCTTTGTGCAAACTCTTTTGCTGCTCCTCTGCGCTCCATGAACGCCCTGGTGAGCTTCCTGCATGCACTGACAGCCCCCTCAGAGAATGCAACTGCCTGTCGCGCAGCAAAGCCAACAGTCTGCGGTAGCCAGACGCTGACGAAACGCCGGCCTGGGGATGAGTACAGCCCCCGTAGCTCGCGCCGGGGCGCCTTCGCCGCGCCGGCGCCTGTAAACGCGACATCCTCCCCCCTTGCACCGACAGATGCTGGGGGTTCTCTGTACTTGGCTGCTAGCTGAAACCCTCTCGAATCTGCTTCTGCAACTGGGGCGCATGAGGCCCCCGCGAGAGCCTTCACGCAGCTGTCGTACGAATTTAGGTTTCCCGCAGCTGCCATCGCATCCTCCTCTGATTTCCCTTCTTCTGGGAGGTCGGCGTACTGCATCTTCGTCTCTGTCCAATCCCTGATCACGTAGATAATCCAAGCAAATATCAACAGGCAAAGGCTCACCCGCAACAACAGCAGCAGCAATTGCTGCAGTTGCTGCCACAGCCCCACTTGGTTGCCCCGCACCTCCGCCTGTGCACCACGGGACGTATGTGGTACTACAGAGGCCCTAGAGCTTTGCTGCTCGCTCGAAATAAAAGACAAGTCGTTTTTCGCTGCACCTGAGGCTGCCGGCGTTGGCAATCTGCTGTCCCGCTTCGCTGTTGGTTGTCCGTCATTAGAGGCTGGAAAGGCATTTGCCTTTTCCTTCATATCCGCGTTAGTATTCATAAGCTGCGTTTTCCCTGAGGGCAAAGCAGCGGCGGCCACAGAGGGCGCAGCAGCTGCTGCAGAGCCGCTGTAGTCTATGAGTGTAGGGCAAGCCGCTGGGGTGGTCATCACCATGTTGAATCTGCAAGGGTCTGGGTGTTCACAGAGGTCGAACTTGGTGGCAGATGCTGGGTTCCCGTTCTCTGCTGCAGCTCCGATCCCCGGCGAAGCACCCCAAGGACACTTCAGAATGACATGTGTGTGCAAAGAAGACTCAGGACAGAAGATATGTACGTGATGCATGTGTGCCTGAAGACCCTCAAAGGGGTCGCTTGGGTTCAAGGGCTCCCACGATGTTGGGTCGTCGGTTATCTCCGGCTCAGACCATAGGCCGCCGATGCCGTTGCTGTCAGGGTGCTGCTGCATGTTTTCCGGGCGGTGAGAATACAGCAAAGTAGTATTTGTAGAGAGTACGTTTTGAAGGCATTCAGTTGTATCGGCCTCCTCTTCTGCCTTGTCAGCTGTCCTGACAGCCTTTGAGGACGAAGGGGATGACACCTTCAAAAACTCCGCTAGCAGACGTTCCATTTCCTCTTGTGGGTCATGCGGCTTTTTCAGTTTTGCTGCAAATTTGAAAAGACGGCCACGGGAGCCGTGGCAACTATGTGGCAACAGTCTGCACGGATTGAATGCAAAAAAGACGTGTTTGTTTTTGTGCTTGTGCAACTTATTGCTCTTTGTCTTCTCGGTTGTATCTTTTGTAGGTCCAACCATCAATGAAAGCACGGTTCTGAAAAACGGAGGATACTCCTCGAGTTCAAAGAGAGGCTCCGAAGCTTTGCAGGCCCATCCCGTCGGCGGAGCCCCCTGCACGACCTGCCTCAGGTCGTAGGTGGCCGATGCATGCAACTCAGGGAAACGCAGCGTTATAGATTTGTACGAGCCACATGTAGCCTCCCACAGATGAGCGCCTGCTCCCGCTTGTTCAAGAGAGCCCACAGAAGAATCCTTGCTGGCGCTGCCTGCGTCTGCGCCGGCGTTGACCTCAGCCTCTGAGTGGGCTACGGAAGCGTATGTGTGGGTGGTAGGCCCCTTCGATTGACACAGGCCTAGGAAGGGCTGCAAAAATATCAACAAGATGAGAAGGCAAGTTGGCATTGCTGAACAGTCGAATGGAAAAATGCGCGGGGACATCCTGGGGGGAGTCGCACCGTCTTGGTAGCGAGCAAAGAATGCTTTCACGTTCCGTTGCTAATGCCTGGCTTATAAAATGTGCTTAAACGCTGTGTGCCAAATGACGCCCTCGGATATGGAATTGCAGATGGCCGGCGCCCCGCCAAACCCAAGCGAGCTACTGAGTGAGCAGCTGCGATTTGTGAGGGCCCAGAACAGCAACACGCAGAAGTTACATAACTCCACAAGACAGAAGCTGTTTGCTTCTTTTGACATGCTACTGGAAAGATTTACACAGGCTGATGAAGGAGGATGATACACGCTGCGCAAGGACCACTGGACGGAGCTCGGGGTGATGCCGTCTCAGCTCTAGAAAAGCAATACACAATATTCTTAAAATTTATTAAAATAAACCATATTGAATTTTAAGAAAGAAGCAAAAGTAAGCAGACTGGCAGGTCTAGATATGACCTCCTGCTCAAATGCCTGTCTGACCCCGTTGCAATGTAGAAGCGCAGTCGAGTGTCCCGAAATCCGGCCCATGTTGAGATACCCAAGGCGTCACCAAGCTAATGACACACTTGAACTAAAAAACAAAAACATTTTAGAAAAATTAACTCATTTGTTTGCTCGGCCCATCGGACATTCACCCACCCAAATTTGTCTAGTTTGTTCCTCTGGGGTGACTGACGCAGGTTCTTACAAAAGATATGCTGATGCGGGAAATGGCACCTAAACCTGCTTCTGACCCCTAACCATACACAAGTACCTATATTTAAGATGCGATGTGTTTCTTGTGTCATGCTTCTGCTACAGCGGTTCCCCTTCCTACATCGGGGAGGGTAAATGCAATACAGTGAGCGGTGGTTGGTGCAGAACGTGGTGAACAGTTTGTTCGGCATCAGGTTAGCAGAACATGGAAGTTCTGGATCTGCGTGGAAATAGATTCAATTTGAAGGAACTTATGGACCATGAGGACCAGTGCGCTTACAATGCGGGCGTGGTTTTCAGGGTGAAATCGAGAAAGTTCATGAAGCAGCCGCTTGCGAAAATATCTTACATTGACTCAAGTGGTTATACACAAAGTGCAAGCATGGCATCGTATCGGGGAATTTTGTAGCCAAATGAGTAGAGACCTACTTCCCCTCCTGATTAGACACTTTTCTAAAGTGAAGATTTAATAATCGACGAAGGTCCAGCGCCCTCCTAAAGACCACTCGCAGGTATACTACTATCTGGCTGATGGACAGTAGCGTTTAGACGGTGGAAACAAATCAGCTCTCCGTCCCCGGAGCATTAGACAGTGTACACTCTGTGGCTAACCTCCTTGCGATATTTCTCTTCTTTATAATCCAGACTTGCATTATGTGTAGTTCCAAGCTTCACACTGAAAGGTACCGTTCTCGTTCAGCAGGCAAAGCTCCTACGCGCATTTTTGGGCATTGGCACATTTAGAGCTTCGTGAAGAATGAAGAAACTTCGCAAAGCAGTACACAACACCAATTACATCTGTGTGCCCCCTTTAGAATTAACCATGTTGCAGTGGTTGTTTGTACTTTGAGTCTGAACAGTGGTTTAACTTAGATATGCCTCATTCACCATTTAGAATAGCGCTGAACCTCCTAGACGGCCACTCACGCCCGTTCAAACCTAGATACATTGCCTCGCCGCAGAGGTGACCAAGTTCACACTTTCCAGTACGTTAGACCTTCCCTACATTCGACGTCTAGTATTTATCTCCCGGCGGCGCATGTAACAGAGGGTGCCACAAGTTTTCTTCCTGGGCATCATTGTCGAGACCTCACCCAGGAAAGAGAAGGAATGAGCAGTTTGGTAAATGAAAACCGTCGAAGGTTGCGGGAACTTGTAAACAAACAAAGCCTTGTGGGGAGGCACACTGAGGCAGGTGCATTCAGTTTCTATGCACTACTGGGATTCTCATTTGTGTTTCGTAAGTCTTCGCCTGCATTATACCTTTTCCGTGGGAACCTGCTGCTGTATTTTCGAAATGTGGCATGCGCTCAATACATTGACCGCCAATGGGCTAAATGCATTTAAAAGCTTTGAGATTCCAGTTGTTGAGGAACTGGAGCGCTTCCCCTAAAAACAAGTTGGAGCATACCAAAAGAGGCAGCATCTCCTGCGGCACACTCTTATTGAAGTATCAGCGGTTTTGCGCGGGCTTTGGCCTGCCCTTCTCGCTACCGAGCGCTGCAATCTTGTCATTACTGTTAAGGTTGCAACCAGTGCCTTTGGTGTTGCCACAAGAACGTGTGCCTCTCCATGAATCCCTTGGTCCGATCTCGCCTCTGCGGAAGCTTCAGATCTGGTGGCCATAACTGATGGTCTCGATGCTGGCAGTTTGCTAGACAGCCAACCCTGTTCGCCCACCGACCTAGAAAGTCCGGCTTAGCACTTGCATGCTCCCTTGAACAGTGTAGCAGCACAACCTGTACACCAGTGCCCAGAGTGTCACACTACACCGATGTTTTACATAGTGATATCAGTCTCCTTGATTCTTCTTCTTCTTTGTCGTGGCTTGGCGGACGGATTGTTCTTGCAATTTGTGAAGAGGGTACAAACTCGCTGCATCATCTCCGTATGCGTCTTTGTGAAGCGAAATTTACGGTCTTAGTGATGTTTACAGGTTTTCTACGCTGGCGTCAACTAGGACTATCTTGTTCTCTTTCACTTGCCTGCCGCTCAAAGCCTAGGCAGCCAAATACCTCGTTCTTTCCTTGGCGAGCGCATGCATTTCGTTTTGTTCCTGCCTTTCTACGAGGTAGGATTATTGCAACCATGACAGCTCAGCTTGCTGATTCAGCTCGGAAAGAAAACTGCATTACATTAGATCCCCGTTCCGCTGCATAGAACGAGCTGGTGTTGTAGCGTTGCTGCCTGTGAAAGGCAAAAGCGTGCGCAGTCATTCCATTTCTTCATACGGGCTGGGTTATTTGCCCGGTGTTTCGTTCTGCTGTAAAATCGGTAGCCTAACCAATGCAACAGAAGCAGAGGAGAATTTGGTGACGGCACAACTGCCAAATAATGGCGCACTTGAGGGCAATTCACCGATAACGGGAATTTCATTCTTTACGGATGCAGACTGTTCAAGCACGTGCAGCGCAGGCTGCCTATCGTTCACATCCTAGAAATTATCTAGAAATTATCAGTCGCAGGCATCGGCAACTGTATGGGTTTTGCAGTTCCATTGCTGTTGAATTCCTCGACTTCAAAGACTCGTATATGGTGCTTTCACCATGTAACCCGGCCTACGCGCCGGATTGTCCACCTGCTCACAGGGAGCGTGAGCTACGCCTAGATCGTTACGAGTCCCGCAAGCTTTCTCCTATTCGCAAATTCGAAACTCCAACATGTCTACAGCTCAGTTAAAAAGCAGGTTTCCTCCCAGCTTCTCCGTTTATTTAGCGGCGATTGTGGTTATGGGGAGCAAGCATCGGTCAGAATATGGCTGAAACTCCTATCAAGGATCCTTCCTACATCATCTGCTTCACCTGCTTGTTTTGTCGGTTTTGTCCTGTTTGGTGCCACGCGCACAGCATCTCACAAACGCACCGTGCCAAGAACGATGGGAGACGACCGCAAGTTTACAGACCTATGGAAAAGAGTCCACTGCAAACGGTGCCCTCAGTTAGGGAATGTGAGAAAGGCTTGCCTGAGATCCGGTGCAGTCCGGTCTGCGCCGCATCTGCAGCTAATTGTTGTCTTTCATTGTTGAAAGGGCTACCACGGTGTTTTGACTCAGTACATTCATCCCTTTAGAAGTGAAGCAAGCAAGGCCTACTACAATAAGTGATTCTCGCAGATGGAACCCATTCGCAAGGCGCACTGCTGAACAGTCCTTTTGTTGGAATGCGCAGTAGAACCGAGAATATTGCACTCCCACACACCAAATGGACGTTTTAGTAAGAGGTTTGGGAAAATTGGAGCGATAAATCAATCCTCTGCAAACTTCTGCAATGCGTTGTGCAGTGTGAGCAGCTCGTAGTGGACGCGCCTCGTCGCTGCAGTGCGGGCAGGGTAGACTGCCGTAGATAATGTAGTTACCAGCAAGGGCTACAGCCACCAGGGCTACTGCAAGGAGTAAGCAGAGCGCATTTTGTGGACCAAGTCCATTTTGCCAAAGAAATCTGGAGCTGGAGATCCTTCCTCCCAAAATGCGCTAGTCAGCAAATTGACTGTCGAGATAAAGCAAATGTGCAGAACGTCGAATTCGTTGGTTGCTGAAATCAGTAGTTTCCGTCAAGGGAGTGCCTGAAAACAGGTCAAATTCAAAGTTAGCAAGAATATATATTTCTCCTGCTGCTACCGCGAAGTCACACAAATGCGTCTCACGCCACCTGGCTTAGATCCTGTGCAGAGAAGAACGCGGGTAACCATCAAAGCTGCAGTCTTGAAGCTTCGGCATCCTCTAGCAGTTCCATCTGTGCCAATAGTCATGTTTTCTAAAGAGGTCCCTGAGCCTTTCCGATGTGCCACTGGCTAAACTACACGGAGTTCGATCTACTGGTCACCGACGAGAGAAGCGTTGATGCTCGCTGGTCCACTCACTGTGACGCATCGAATGTACAAGCACCAGCTCCGTGGTGGCAAAGCAGTGCCCGATTTTTGTGTGGTAGTCTTCTTAAACAACGCACGGGCAACGTATCCCAAGCACATTAGAAAGACTACAGAATCCGACTCTACTTACTTTCAGCAGCGAAAAGAAACTGCACTGTACGCAATGCTGGGCTCCTTTAGAAACCACAAATATGGCAATCTATAAGTGAATGCATCCTGCATTGGCCCCTTACTCATACATACACCCAAGGGAAGTGATGAACCTGCAGCGGCCTTCCCACCGGCCATGTATTTCCCCAGTGTACTTGCATTCCAACAAAGGCAATTCCCCGCACCTCTACAGGGAGAAGGCCCTGGCTTTGTAGACTGTGAGAGAGGCTAGGCTCACTGGGGTTGAAAAAGGCTGACGCACCCCATCCTAGCCTTCTGACGTTAGCTGCTTCCCCTCCTCAGCCTACTGCGACTGCGATCACCCCACACCACCAAAGACGGATCCCCGTAATGGTCGTCTGTGGCCAGTGCAAGTTCCATTGAACCCTGCTGTGTAGTGTCAAACAAGAGGCCTATCCCTACAGGAACAGTGTGTGCAGAATTCTCTACGCCACTAATCCATCGCTGCAAAAACCCCCGCTTCCATCCTTTCCTCAGACTGCCATGAACGCCTCTGTAACACCAATTTGCTGCTATGAATAGCCCTACTCTAATAAACGGGCAATCCGGCCAGTGCCAGTAGTCGTGCAGATATGTACAATTGACTACGGTCCTCTGCTTGTTATCACGTGGGCCCTATAACCAGGTAAGACCTTCATAACGCCGTAGCAGTACGCTCAACGGGGTTCATTGGCTGTCATCCCAGCACCTAAAATGCCACACTAACCTTCGACAGTCATACCAAGCATACGTTTAAAAATAATCCGCCAGCATACTTCATACGCTGCTGTTCGAATGCGCTAAGGCATCACTGCTTGCCTGAGCAATCAAACCAGCGCACTCCACTGTGGATGTGTGACGGCGTGCCTACCTAACCATGTTCGGGCAACGCCTCCTCCTGTGAGGAGGCGTTGCCCGAACATGGTTAGGTACTTTGCCTAGAAGCGATACTGTACGTGTCTGTCAAGACGGTCTGCCCCGTACTTTTGCGTGCTCCAGCACGTCGATGACCTCTCCGACGCGTAGATAACGTCCGGCTGCGTCCCTCTGCCGCTAGCAGTTTGCCAAAACAGCACAGCTACACAGCTACATCAGGTGGCTACACGATACTGCAAAAAAGCCATTTCAACTAGTTCCTGTTAAGCAAGCAAGCCTGCGTACGTGTCATCTCTTTCGTGAAGCAAAGGGTACGGACTCCTGGTCTCACGTTTGCAATCACTAGCAGAACAGCACATGCTTATCAGGAACTCTCCACGACCACTGCGTATCTGAACTACAACAACCCCTAGCAGACTGGCTCCTGAACCTCCTCACCAACATCATAGTAGCCGTTACCATAAACTACCAAATGCTGTCAGGAAAAGAAACTCCGCAAAATCCTTAAAATGGGCCCTGGTGAGGAGAAACCTCGAAAAAAGTTGAAAGTCTGCATGCACAAAGCTGGAGGCAAAGTTGACGCCTCACGGCATATATTCGTTAATTCAAGAATCCTCTCGTCAGTGCGCCCCTGACTGCGTTAATATACACTGCGAAACCCCTCAAGTCCCATGGGTTCTTCGTCGACTCCGCTATGGTTTCTATAACCCGTTGAAATTATACTTGGAGGCAAAATCCCCACCTCGACCTCTTCGTTCACTTAAAGGAAAAGGTTTGCTAGGTGGTATAACACAAAGATTCTGGCCGGGTGGAACATCTTTCCCCTGTATACTACAGCGGAAGAAGGTCACCCAATCGCCCCCTCACCAGGTACACATTGTCCAAACAGGGAAGCCTCCGTCCACTGAGACGCGCTCAAGGAGGAGATGTGCCTTCAGATGCCATTCTTCGAATGGGCCTCTGCGCCAACACTACTTGTTAGCGAAACGAGGAGCAAGCAAGCACATGGTAGCCCTCAAGATGAAATGGTCAGTATTTACCGCTGTCAGGTAAATGACACCGCTTAAATAGCACCCCTCAAACCGCAAATTCCAATCCCTAGCCCACGCAGTGTGCCGAATCTCCACCCCACCTCCTGCATGCCAAGTGAGCAGCGCAGGCTGCATCTTCGGATCCCTCGGTCTTTGCTCTCCTTGCAGGAAAAAAACCCATCTCAACACCTTGCGCGCGGCCCAGGTTCTGCACAACAGCCTCAGAAGCGGAATGGGATGCCTCTGGCATAACAATGCAGGCCTAGTCCCCCACCAAAACAAGTGCTCAAGCCTAAGGGGAAACTAGCGACTGTGACACTGCCCTAGCGTAGGGAAAGGGACGACTGCGACTTGCGTACCTGCTTCCGTTTGCCTCTTGCATGGTCATAAACTGCTTGCCTAATGCCACCAACGGACTCTGTCCCGTGTGTTTTCCTCCCACAGCGTGTGCCGCTGACTTCGCAATAAGGATTAATTGCACCCGGGGCCACAAGTGCCACGAAATCAAGAAACACCGCAGCCAGCTCGCGCTCCTCCACGCACAACCCCAAATAGCTGTTCTGCGCCTCAGCAACAGCATCCACCCCAATGGTGCTAGCACATATAGCGTAGCACTGTGCCAAGGCTCTCCTCACCCCTCCTGCTGAATCGATGCACGAAGATGTCTGGGACTTGAAAGTCCGCCGCAAGCCCCTGCGCCTAATTCTGTGGGTCCCTGCGTACTGCCAGCCTCGCTCTCTGAACTTCGTCTCCCCATGCACTCGAAGCTGTTGCTGGGACGGTCCACATGAGGGAATGTTGCTGTCTGGCACTTCATGAGAGTTCAGCCCTCCGGTGGGAGCCCAAAGGTAGGGCAGTGTAGGAGGGCAGTCGGTTGAATTGCCGTTGCTGGACAACTCCTCCTCAACAAGCGTCCCATCCCGAGGCCCACTCGACACGAAGCCCTCAAAGCTATCACAAGGCGACGACAAAAGCGAAGCAAGTCTGCTACGTCTTTCGTTAGCCGCCCACGTGTCAACTCCGGTCTCATGACCGAAATCAACAGCAATGCTTGACTTCATAGACGCACTTACCCCACTAGTTCTGCAAGCCACCGATGGCGCCGGCTCTTCTTTCGAAACCCTCCCGACAGGACGCTCCTTTAAAAAGGCGGCCAATGTAACCTCTGTTTGGTGATTACCTCCGTCTATTTCAGCCTCATTCCCCCGCACTTCAGCTTTATTTCCACCCACCGCCAAGGGAGGCGCATGATTTGTTGCTCCATACGAAGGCCCGAAGGGCTCCAATGCAAATTCCCCCGGCTCAAAAGGCGCACCTTCGTTGATATAGGTCGGCGGTATACTTAGGTGTTTGGCGAGGCGAAGGGACTTGAATGGCCCGGCATGGATGCAATTTGTGCCAGGGAGCTCACTACTGCCGCGGCTTGTGCATGGATCCCCTGGTTGTTCAAGAAGTATAGGCGTTCTGGTTTGGCTATGTTGCAGAAGGGCTGCTTTTTGACTCCACTGAGCGCCTGGCTGTGTATTGGAGGTTTCCGACCTGCCTCGCACCGAAGATTCTTCGAGGTGGGTGCGAAAGCCTAGCTTCTGAGATGTGCAAGGCAACAGCTGCGAAGCAAATGACGGCTGCTTTCCCCCTTGTAGCTTCGTACCACTCTTCTTCTGATCAAACCTGCCGTCGGGCCAACTGTCCATGCCGGATGCTCCACCCTCTCCAACACCCCCTCCATTTTCGCAGCACGTGGCTGGACCACCACCCTGCAAAGTGGAGCCACCGGAAGACCTATCCGCAAGGGTGACAGTCACACGCAATAACACATAGCGGGACCTCCACCAACCGCTGCATTGCCGGCTGTGCTGTTTCCGGCACTGCTGGCAGCCAGCACCTCCTACTGCCATCGTTGGCAAACCTCTACACAGGTCTGGTGGGTTATTCCGAGCTGTAACCCGGCTGACTTCCGAAGCAACTGCCCGTACAACTCCAGTGTGAGAACAGTAGTAAAGCGTAAACGCCTCCCATTCCTCTCGCACGACGTACACTACGGCCTCTGACTGATTTCCCCCATCCCCCATTCTCTCCGCCGTCAAAGGCCTCTGCTCCGCAGCTTCCAAAGCCTTCCGGCGAGTCTCCTCAAAACCGCAGTCACCCTGCGCTAAGCTACGCTGAACGAATGGGTCTTCGTTAGCCTCCGCCATCTTCACACCAGTCTCCGCAACCCCATGGAAAGACCCTGCTCCCAGCCCGTTATCCTTGCTGCCGGCCGCTGCTCCCGGGCATTTGCTGGGAGTGCACGCTCGCATGTCTGTGCCCACCTCCTTGCAAGGCCTTCCAGGGACAGCACTCGTTGTGCAACTGTCTCCTCCCTCTGGATGCCTCTCTACACCTGCGTGGGAAGAACTGACAGCAGCCATGGAATCGTCGTACAAGCTTTCAATAGAGCTCTTCATGAGCAAGGCAGCGCAGTTGTGTGGCAGTCCTGGAAGCAACCGCCGAACCAAATCCTCTCTCGACGGCAGCACATCTGCTGTGAGCGTTCCCTCCTCTGCACTGCGCCATGCTGGCCCATGGTACAGTTCGTGCTCCCCCGGAAACTTCATGTGCCACGACTTCTGTTCGTCTCCCAAGGGTTCAACCGCTTGCTGGCTATAACTGCCGCTGGTTTCTGGGGATCGTTGTCGCGACACTGAATAGCCAGCCACCTGAGCCCGTTCAGGTGAGCAGCTCGACTCTAAGGTGTCCGGGTCAGATCTCCATAGCTCTCCTTGAACCCCAACCCTCCCTGGATCTATCGACTTACTGTCGTGCAGCAAATCTTCCCCAAAACCCTGTAGGATCTTGCTGTGTTCGGCAGGAAATCCTATCCCTCCTGACGATGCCACCTGCACCCAACAAACATTACCGAGCACCCCGTCCATTGCAGGACAACCAGCACGCACACCGTAACACGCAAGTCAGTCGATAGCTCGCCTACCCGCAGCGCCTCACACCGTCTCGGTACGTCCAGCCCAATCGGATTCTTCGTCGCTCCTCCGGCGGGGCACTTCCTGCTGTTCCGCGACGTCACTCGAATCTCCTGCTTACATTCAGTTGTGGTGCACCCTTGTCCTAAGCTCTCAGCGGCTCCACCACGACTTGACAAAACCTTCCCCTCGAGGCCCTGCTGCAACGTATTATGTCGGTTTGCTGTCTCCAGACCACCGCCTGCCGCGAAATCTGCTGCATGTACATCCTGCCGTTCTTCCGGTTGGGCATCCACTTCACCACCGCTTCGGAGTGGTGCTGCTGCCGACAAGTGCACTTCATCCACCATAGGCCACCTCAAAAGTGACGTATCTGAAGAAAACATCTGCACATAGAAACCACCCTTACCAAATGTACTTTCAGAACTTTCCTGGCGGCCCTCGGCCATCTCCTAGCCCAGGACGACACGACGAACTGCCGTTAAATCGGAATCTTGCGCCACCACCTACAAACTTCGTTAGTCTGCTTCACTTGCTCCTCCCTGACCCTCCTTGTCGACCGCCCCACCTTCCTCCTGGAGGGAAGACTCCAAATTCTGGGAGTGGGGAATACGAAACAGCAACTTCCCACGTCTCCCTCCCTTCTCGGCAATAGCTATGGGGACTGGAAAAGCAGCGAGAATCCCCACTGCTGCCAACACTGGAAGTCAACCGCGAGCTCGCGCTGATCAAGCAAGAAGGCCCGCCAAACACCGCTCTTACAGCCAGTCGGGTAGTCCCCGAGAGCACGTCGTCGCTCCTCGACGAAAGGTCAGTACTTGCACCGCTCCAAAGCCGCAACTCCCACTATGTGTATCTCGATGGCCAATTAGGCCCACAGACTAGCCTGGTTCTCAAGGAGTTCAGCACCGGGTTAACAGACGAAGCAGAGGAGCAGAAGCGACCGCTCTGACCAAAGGAAAAGAGGAGGAGGTTCTACTTCACCCAAACCGTACAGAACTAGTGCTGCAAATTAAACTTTTTGGTGAAAGTAAATGCTCAACTATAAATTCAGCTTACACTCTGACCCGCACCAACGGACCACTGGACGACTCGAGCAAGGAAGACCGGAGGGGGGGATTATTAGACTTCAATAGAGAAAGCGCCTTGCTCGAAAAAGTGGCTGCACACACGCATAATCTGACTTTCCTAGCGGAAATGAAAACGCCTCACAAACAGGCTTCCAGAAGTCATTAAATTGCAAAGTGACCAAGGAAAGACCACAGAGGCGTCGAGACACAATGGCGCTGCTCCGATGTACTCGTAGGGCGAAAATAGCTTGAATAAACTGCCCACGCCCAAGAATTCAGTATTAAAACCCTCAATAGGCTTGAATGTCGTGCAGACACCTGTAAAACCCATAAAAGCAAGTCCAAGCCAGCCCAGTGTCTGGGGAACCGGAAGGTAAGGGAAAGGAAGAAACCAACAGGACTCCCGCGGGAACTACCCCTTTTGCCAAGCCACACACCGCTATGTATCAAGTACGCTCACGAAAACAAAGTGCGAGCATCACTTCGCAGAAGCAACTGCTCTGGTGGCTCAGCTCGTGGAAGCTGTCTCACAGGTGATGGGGTGCTAGGCAAGCCCTGCTACGGAAGCACGATAGGGGGAAGGTAGCGCCAGCCGACTGAATCCCATTTCTTGAAGATTTGTCTCACAAAATAATGCAACAATATATGTGTAGATTTAAAATGACACGTAAGACTCCATAGGGTACTCTACCAAAACATTTCTTGCCCCGCGACGCGCGCTGAGACGCACGTGGGGAGAACCCCGTCGGGATGGGAGATCGAAGCTTCCAGCGGTCTTCCCTTCTACACACAGTGGACACGATGCACCAGCATGCGTCGCGTCCTTAAAGAACGAAATTTGGATTAAGCCTGTTCCAGTGTGTAGTGAATGCAGCTCAAGAACATGCTGTTGTGGATTTGCACTGTAGCGCTCCCGCACTCCGCAATGCTAGTGTTGCGTTGCACATTGTGCGATGTGTTCACTCCAATTTTGGACAGAATATGATGATGTGCTCTTAAAGCTAGCGCTCCGATAATCCGTAAGTACCGATAGGACGGCCTGGCGAGTATTAGCTCCTAGAGTAGAAGGCGAGCAACCCTGTGGAGGGTGGAGTCTCTGTTTGCAAGGCTCATTCCGAAACTTCTGAATTCTGATCCTGGGTCTAGAACAAACGGCAATGAACTAGCAGGTGCCAATGAATGGCAACCTAACAAGCTAACGACCCGTAAGGCCAAACACGCGGTGGACGAAAAGCGCAAGTGGCACCGGAAGCGCAGACCTATAGCCAATCATCCCTCGCGTGCAAATATACCCTGCTCTGCCTCTGTAGCTAGGCGGTCAACGTGAACTCCTGGGTTAAGCGTACGTACTACTAACGTATGTGCCACACGTGGCTGCTGGTCCTTTCGAATCAGATATGTTAAGCATCAGTTTCCACAAAAACAACGGGGCAGTGCAACCAATCGCAATGCATGCTGGCTAAAGGGTCAGAACCACTTCTTTGTGCAATCGCATGCTCATCTTGAGGACAGCCTTTCATGAAGTTGACCGACCAAATGACAGCTTCCTTCGCTGCCCACCAATACGCTGGCAGAGCCAAACACGCATTCACTGCTGCGAGAACCTTGCCTCCCCACAACAGCGATGCCACGTGGTCACGTTAATGTGCGTATATGTATGCGTGCGTGCAAGTGTTCTGGTCTGTGGGTGTGTGCCCGAGGCGCTGCTTTGCGCAGCCGATCCAAAAAGGGCATTCAAAGGTACTAAGAAGGCCGCAGAAAGTGCTTCGTGCAAAATGTTCTGCTTGGTTTGTGAACGTTTCCCGCCAGTCTCCAACGAAGTTGCCAGATGATCGCTACACTTATTCCCCAGGTTCAGTACCAACGCCTCCGTATCACCCACGGACTTGAAGTCACTGACACCGCTCATCCGCTTTATCCAATCTTCTATTTCTATGAGCTGGCGGATGTTTCGGTCGACACCTCGGGAACTGTGGAGGATCCATGCTGGGGTGAAGTCAAAGCCACTAACTGAGGTTCTGCTGCTTGGCACGTCTCGTCACTGGCCGTCACTAAGTCCGCAGATGCTGACCCATAAACTCTAAGGGTATGAGGACTGCAGTCGCTTACGACGACCATAACGTCGCGATGGGTGACCCCAGCACCAACAACCACTAAAGCCTCGTGCCACGAACCGTCGCCTCCGCTTCCCCTGCGCATACAACTCGCATACAGCCGAGAAACCGCCTGGACCTAACAGATCTTCTCAGGCTCGGCAAGCAGAAGCAAGAAAAATAGGAGATGTAACAACAATATGAACAGGGTAGGCCAACTTACGATTACCAAAGCAGCTACCAAAACCAGTTGCCTGGTGTGCCAACGTACTCTGGAGTCCAAGTCAAAACTCGCACAGTCATTTCTGTTGGTGTAGTCTGTCCAAAAAAAATCATGAACGCCTTTGTCGGCCCAGCTGGAGTATCCAAGGGAACTTCCTTTGGAGCCGTTTCACCTTCTTGGTAGAGCAACACAGCCGCTTTATCTGACTCTCCATCTCCATTTTCGGAACCAGGGATGCGAACACCAACAATCGAAATGGACGGTTGTTCCTTCATGCTACCATTTTCATCGGTTGCGCTCCCTGCAGTACCGTCCCCCCCTGACCCTCCAGCTAAACCAGGGCCCTCTCCAGGAGGCGATTCTCTCATCTGAATCATGCCCCGGGAATTATCAGTGACTATCTCAGCAACAAAGTCAACATCACTCTTTCCCCATCCATTGGCAGTAATCTTCACAGATTCGCCCACCTTGAGACCACCGCGAACAGTTAATCTACCACATTTTGCTTCAGCATATCCGCCTAAACCTGAGGAGAAAAGAGGGCAAGACCAAACCGAATCTGGCGCAGATTTCGGATGGGCCAAACACTATATGCTACTGCAGTCGCCCCACAAGAAATGCAAAATCACTCACCGGTGTGGCCCTTTGTCGAACTGCCGGCGGCAAGCGCGTTGTCAGAGGAGGATGGTTCATCCCCTGAGGAACAAAAATGGAGCAAAAGCAATGAAGCACTAACATTCAGCAAAGCCACCCAACCCTTCCCAAAACCCTGCCCCCCCCCCCCCCCCCCCCCCCCACC